AAATTAATCATATTTATTGAGTTTGATTTGAGATGATTAGATTTATTTAGTTATCTCAATCAATCAATGATTAGTAAATATGATTAATTAATTTTAATTAATCTTAATTAATATTAAGTTAATTATTTAATTAAATTAATTATTTTGATTAATTAATTTTAACTTTTAATTAACTTAAATCTTGGTCATCTTTTATTTTATCTCAATTTCATCCACAAGTTTTATGATTAAGCAATTCAGTCCCAAAGTTTTGAATCTGTTTAAATCAGTCCTTCATGTTTTCGAATTTAATCAAATTAGTCCCTTTAATGTTATTTGTGCTTATGATGCATGCTTGTCTTTGGTTTTGTCCATTTTAGCCCAAAAATAAAAAATGTTTCAATTTGGTTTACCCTTTTTTCAAGCTTGCTTATTAAGACTTAAATACAAACATGATGAATAAGTTGAATCAAAACCCCCCAATGTTAAAGTATGCAATCGTGTTTAAACGGAGGATTGTGAGGTGCGTGTATGCCCTTCCTCACTCCTAACCGAACCCCCAAATCCCGATCTCTGTGCAGACCCGTTTTATGTGACTTGTCCCACCTTATAATTTGGACGAGTGGCGACTCCCTTTTTCTTATATATTTCACACTTAATTTTTCATTTTTATTTTTGAAAAAAATTTTAAGTGGTCGTCAACAGCTCCACATGAGCAAAGGCCCACAATATTTATTTTTCACATCGGACATGCAATTCTTATTTTCTACTGATTACTGCAATAGAGTCAATATGGTCAGAAACAACATTCATTCACTTTTCGTTGGAAACATTGAGGAATGCGGTCCACTCTAATGTCTATTTTCATATACGTGGTTGAACATGGCTAGATCTACTTCAATGACATGGCTGGACATTTTTTATGACCATGTCCTTTACAGTGATGTTCACTACCACATATTTTGGCTCCCAACAATGGATAAAGAGCCTATTTTGCTACATAGCTACCATCAAAGGACAACGAGCTAATCTATATAGCTCCCAGTGATGGACAATAGGCCAAGCATCTACTTTTACATGTCTCTATCACTAGTTCTCATCAATGGACAATAGGCTGATCTTATTACATCTATACAACTCTTAATAATGGACAAAAGGCTAGATTTGCTACATATTTATCTCACTGGCTCCCGAAAACAAACAAAGAGTCAATGCAACTCAGTACGATTAGCGTGAGGTCAGTAACAGTTACAACCTTGCGATCGAACGGGATGACCACCTTCCAATGATAAAAATCTATTAAGTAATAATTGGTGGTCCCCTGGTGGTTGCTCGTTGTTACACCAAATACGCACTATTTTTAGGCAAGTGAACCTAATCGATTATGCAGTATAAGATGAGTAACATATCGTTCCCTCGAGGACTATCCTACACTACCAAGACACTATTAATCTAACCTAAGTTGAATTAACCAATTAATGGGGAACTCTAAACTATTTAAAAGAAAACTAAGTAAACTAAGGAAATTAAACCAAAGAATTTTCTAAATTAAAGAAACTATGAATGAGAAGGAACTAGGGTTTGGATTTCATTTAATTCTGAATTATGCAACTGTTTCATTAATTTAATTCAAGTTCAAATAATAGTGTTATCGCATGAGATGGCGGATTTCCCTTAATTAATTAACTAGCTTTCTCAAGTCTAATTAATCCTTCACTTATTTGTTAAATTAATCATATCTCTATATAATTTTAAACAAACTAATGAGCATTAAATTCTATGGAAACCTCTAGCTTAAGAAGGGGGAGCT